ATCGCCGATTTATCGAAAAAAACTCTAAAATAGTTGGTTGTGTAGCGTGCGGTAGATCTCGGCAAAAATTGAGTGAAATAATGGAACAACTTTTCGCTAGTAAGTGACTATATAATATACATACGTGTAGTAAACCGATCATTTATGAAATTCACTTAAATTAACTAAATTATATATTTTTCTTGCATTTTAGCTTTTATTTATTACTTGTCAAAGATTAGATGTCAAAGAATTTAGATACGTTAATTTGACTTACCTGCTTCAGTAGCGTATCGGATGTTTGTGGTAATAAATGCTTATTATAACTTATCTATTTTTATTAGAATTATATATTTTTATAACAATTTTAATAACTACCAACATTTATTCACAACGTAAAATAAAACAACAAATTATTGAGTCTACCCCACGTCTACCCTACATCATAGTTTTACATTTTTTAAATAAAATTAGAACGACACTGATAAACCGGAATTTAAGTCGGCCATATTTGAGGCCCATCGCGGTGTACCTAAGATTTTTGATATGCTCCTTCCTTAGTCTTCTTATTCAAAGATCTCAACTGAGTTAATTTAGTGAAATATATAAATGTATAAAAAAACGTGCATAACAGTCACGTAAATGATGTAATTGTAATATCAAGTCTAAATTAAGATTCATTTAATTGTAATAAATTATCTTTTTTTTATTTTTCTGTTGCTTAGTTATTATACTATCAGTTACTACTTACTTAGTACTTACTTGTCTATCTGTACAAAACAAAAACTTACATTTTATTATAGTCTAAGAGCTAGCAACGTTTTCGAGAAAGTATTTTAAGACGTCTGGCTCTTTGATATATCTTTTACTATGCTCTCTGGAACAGCATGCTGCCGATAACCGTTGCGTTCACTACTGCGCATGGAAGAAAATCCTATATTTTTTTTAATTTAGTTCTACTAAGGGTCGGCATTTCTGGTCTTGGGTGCCGGTTTTCATGTGTACGAAGAGTACGGTCTTAGTAAAATAAGATGTACTGAATAAAGACAGAAGGCGAGTATTTTCACAAGCGCACGGAATCTAGCGTCAGATTAAGTAGTTATGTAATAATTACTTCGTGTTTTTGCTCACTCCGACGTACTACATTGCCATAACGACTCATTTCTATACATGCAAACGCCGACCCAAAGGTTCGCTTGCCAGGGGTATAAATTCTAGTATTGAATATAAATCGGACATGTCTCCATAGCTCAGTGCGTAGAGTTTCCGACTACGAACCGAGGATTCACGAGTTCGAATCCGGCTTAGGTCAAAGACTTTTTATTTTCGTTTATATTCTGATAGTAAAGTATTAAATAATTCTGGTGATTCAATAAAACAAATATTTACTATCAGAATATAAACGAAAATAAAATAAAAAGGTTTTTGCCCTGACCCGGATTCGAACTCTGACTCCTCGCTTGATAGGCGAAACCTCTACGCGTTGAGTTATGGAGACTCGGCCGGTTTATATTCAATACTAGAATTTAAAGGACTAATAAAAATATAGGATCTTCTTTCAATGCGCAGTAGGGAACCCAACGTTTACCGGGAGCCAGACGAGCCGCATGCTGTTCTAGAGAGCATAGTAAAAGATATATCAAAGAGCCAGACGTTTTAAAATACTTGTTTTTCCGACATTGCTAGCTTTGGTACTATTATAAATCTGAATATGCTGCCACACAGGTTAATCGTATTCCTCTTGTTCCTGTAGCCTATACAGGGCGAATTTAAAATTGTTGCATTTTCCGACGCTCTTTGTAACTTGGTTATCTAAAAACTTATTGAAAAGATGAAAGCTAAGTTCCGTACAGTTTTTCACGCAGAATTAAGTGGCGTAACTGGAAACTGTCATTTTCAAAATATGAGAAAACTTAAAAAAAAAAATAAGACACCCTGTACATATATTGTTCTTATATGCTACAAGCTTTATATTATTTGCCCTGTTATGATTTTTCAAAAAATATATATACTCTTTATTTATTTTTATAAGTATGGGAAAAATGCATTATTTAACTTTTTAACATAAAGTTAGTAAAAGTAGTTTAAAAGAGTATTATTAATATATTTTTTTCTACAAACGTCAGTAATAATGTAATTTTTAACGCATGCTATCAGTGCCTAAAATTTGACATTATGTCACTGACGGTAAAAGTCATTTACTTTTAGCACTGGTGAAACTGGTGCTAAAAGTAAGCCCGTGGTTACATTGGATGCGTGCCCGTGCGTTTTTTTGGTCGTACGTGCTCGGACGTGCACGCAGCAAAAAACAAACAAGTGGTATCTACGTAGGCGGTTACATTGCATCGGAGTTTGCGCGTCCGTGCACGTACATCAATTTCCGTTGGTCGAATGAAAACAAACTGGTTTGTTTTTTAATACGTGCACGTCCGAGCGTTCGAATTTTTATATCTCTAGGCCCAATACATTCCCGAAAAATTTGAATATTTTTGAATACCAGGTTTATTTTTATTTAGGATATATTAATGTTGATGGAAACGTTCTATAATATTCAATTTGACCGGTTGCTGTTTTAATTTACCAAATATTTTACATATTCATTTTCTTCTCCTTTTCTTGCTTATAAATCATTTACTCAATATTTTCTTTAATTCGTTACATCCCTTCGTCGTGTCCCAAGCTTCCGTTCTCATAAAATAAAATACCACTTTTGCGACAAAACTTTCCAGATTTGTCCGTTAACATGGTAGTGTGACCTTTATATAATTATAATTAAAATAATTTATTGAGCGGTAGGCAGAACTTGGATTAATGAGAGTACCGACTTTTCAGAGCGTAAATATAGTTTATCGTTTACATATAAAAACAAAATATAACCAGCTAAAGATCGAAATTAAGGCATCGCACTTTTATGGTAAGGGCTCTTTCTAAATTCAGTTATTATAAACTCTATTGCCACTTACCTTATTACGTCAACATCCATCAGCAATACATCAACAACAAGAACCTGTCGAAGACTTCGTTGATCCCCTTGTAGATCTACCCCTTCGATCTTGGACTCATTCTTAAGATTGAACCACTCGACCGGTTATCACAGTGTTCTTTTAAATAACTTAATATTTTAGTGATTAGGTGAAATAAAGAAATAAAATGCCGATTTTTCACAACACCTAACTATATTTAATATAAAGAAATAAATAAATAAAGAAAAAGATTTAACAACAAAACATTTATAATTAATGAAAAAGTAAGAAAATAATTAATGACAATTAGAGAATTGAAATTAAAACTCAGAGATAATAAAGTTAAAAAGAAATACAAAAGATTCTTCTTATTAGTCCAATTTAAATTATCAACAATTAGCATACACTTTCAGATCTCTCTTAGAATTATCGTTGGTAGAAAATTAATATATTAAAAAAAATATTCACTGAACAATTAAATTTAAATTAGAATTTAATAAAAAGAACAATTGCAAAATAATCACTTATGCAATGACATCTAAAATTTACTAAAGCCTTTAGAACAAACAGAAAGTCTTAAATCATTAATAAAGAAAAATATTAGAGAAAATCCAAAAACAACAATTAAAATACTGTAAGCATGAATAGTTTAGAATTTCCTAACTTGAGAATTTATTTGAGAAAATCTTTAGATAGAGAACTTACTAAAACAATTAAAAAGACCACTGGATAATATAAGATTTTTCGAATTCGACCGTCTAATTTAAAAGTCAGTACCGAACTAATTTTGAAGATGAAAATACTGATGCTGGTACTATCCCGGAATGGCGTTACTACATCTTCGGCACGCCCCTGTTTGAGGAACCTTCGAATACCCATCCAAATGCATATTTTGCACCTTTTTAATTGGCCGAAGGGTTCCTTCCCCAAAAGATCCCTAGACTTCTTTCACCCTTGTTTCTGGTTCTTATCCCGAGAGGGCATCAGCATGTCCTATTTATTAATTAAATGTAATTTTTAAACCCTTCCGTGTAAATCTTACTCTTTTACCAATTTGCTGAATACATTCATAATCTAAGCCTTACTAATACAAATTATATCGTGACATAGGATTACCTTAAAAAAACCGCCTAGAAATGAAATCTTTATTTCTTCATTTATTTGTCTATTTCTATTTAACTCTAGGAACGGAAAAAAAGATAATCCTATTTCTATCATTTTCAGACATTCATCCCGTGAACATTTGGATTCTGATTTTAAAACATATATTTAATACTTTTAATTTTCAATGTAAAACCTCTAGCGAGGGGATGATTTAATATTACTTATTTCTTTAAGCATGCCTACGTGCTTTTTCTGCGTTGTTTATTTTGAGATATCCCTAGGGTACACACAACTGGTACCACTCTGTCAAATAGAGTTTTAATAATAAGGGATGAATGTTTGTTCTACTTTACCCTCGTTTATGTGACTTTAAATTATTTAGAAGATTGTATTATTTGATTAGCTAGTTTCTCAGGATATATGCGTACTTTTAAAGAGTTTATGTGTCTTGAATATCATTATTGTATATCATTATAGATTATTTGCTTAGGCCTTTTAAAATTCGTTTGCCTATGTCAACTGATAACTTCGTAAACTGAAATGGTCCCATCTTAGAATAACAAACCAAAAGATAAAATTTTACCAAGCTTGATATTATTCTATTACACTTTTAGCACTTATATCATAAATAACTATTATTTAATTTAACTATCTTAATAAACTGCACTGAAAATGAAGGTATGCATCTTTTAGATAAAGCTGGATCAGGGTTATTGATATCCCAGGAAGCAATGTCACGTAAAAATGACGTTAAATTCTGGTCAGCAAGTGACGAGATATGACGAATTAAATGACGTAAATATGACGTGAAAATCACTTCCTAATGTCTCAGACGAATGACGTCATATTGCAGACGTCATTTTAACGTAATATTACAGGTAATATTGGGTACGTGATATTAACGTGATTATATACTAGATACTACTGCAAGAAAAATGAAACCATTACATTTTGAAATGCTAATATAGCTACCTATATTAAAAAACGTACATACATATCAAATATTTACAATTATTATAAATTATATACTATGTATAATTGGAAATGCTACAAAACCTTTTTCCTTAAATGGCAAAACGACACATTTGCCAATAATCCTGGTGATTGACCAGATCTTAAGATCTGATAAATTATTGACAACATATATACTCAATTCACTAGAGGGGTATGGATATGAATATAAATCAGAATAATAAAGAAATTCTTTACCGATAAGGTAAATCTCATTATCACTTGCTTTTATAATATTATGAATTTCAATAACTTTATTATTTCCTTTATCGTTTTGGCACAAGCAATAGCAGTCTGCCTTTGCCTGAGTTATTACTGACAGAGTTGTTTCATGAAAAATAATTTTACCGAACTGTTTATGGTATTTAATTTGTTTATTTAAAACAGGTAACGGCCCTCTCGAGTGTTCTAGAAGAAGTTTAAGATGATTAAATTCAATATTTATTTTTGAAATTAATAGGTCTCTTTCAACTAGCCGACGATGAATTTGTTGTAAAGGATTTGTAGGAGCTTTTACTAAAGATTTTAGTTGTCCTAAATAGTTCTCAAAAGGGAAGGCTGAAAAGTTGTCGAGCACACCAAATATTTCTACATCATCACAAATGTGTGATAACAAATGCACATTATAAATAATAAACTCTTTACCATATATTGTTTTCAAATGTTGAATAAAAACATTTATAATATCTTTTACGAAGAGAACTCCAAATTGTTTAATATGTTTTTTTGACAATAATATAGAGATCGAAAAATGAAATGCAAGGAAATTCTCGTAAATCGCAATATCTACAAGATCTTTTAAAACCAAAGGACCCAAGTAAATTAAAAACATTCTAAACTCGGTCGCTTTCCAGTATTGGAGCTCATCGAGAGAGCGAGGCTTTCGATTAAATTCTACCGGTATATGTGTTTTTAAATCAAGTAGACGTTCAGATATAATTTTTACTTTTTGACTTGGAAGTCTGACTTTTAATGGGCCGCCAATCCAAGTATTTAATAATTTTTTAACAATGCCTAAGCAAATATTATGCATGTAATCGATTGGAAAAGATTTAATCAAATCTATCGGTAATTCAGTTAATGGAGTTTGCGCAATATGATGGTCCTCGTCAAGTTGCTGTCTAAACGCTTCGTCGGTGCGCTTTTGAGATATTAAGCTGTCAAGAACAACTTTGTTCATATAATACTCTCCACGGACGGTGCATTTATCGCAAGAGGAATATCCTGTGTGCGATTTCGTGCACTTTAAGTAAGCTCGTGCAGGAGCATCGCAAATAAAGCTATGCACTTTGATTTCAACATATTCATTTGACCCATTTATAAATCCATTCTGAAGGAAGGTATTTAGTTCTTCTATAAATGGTTTTAAAAATGTATTTAAAGGTTTAGGTTTACTTTTACCACAAAAAACTGCAACTGTAAAAGGATTACTACAGGGAATATTTTTAATTGAACATAAAATCGGCCAAAGTTGTGATTTTGAACTTTTAAATAACGGAATACCATCAACATTAAAACAAAGCTGAATTTCTCCATTAATTGAACTATTTGACACAATTTTTGATATAACATTTTTTAGGCCAAAATAACAAAATTGACCAGTTTCCAAAGTAACGATGTCAGTTGAATTAGGAGTAGCTAGCAAGGTTCGGCTATCTAAAGGTAGTTCAGGATGGTAAGGCGAAAGTATGTGGAGAAGGTCAGTTAAAGCAGAGTGTGTTATTTTATGTTTCACAGTTGCCCATTCAACTAACTGCTGACAAAGCTTTGTATTTTCTTGATGTGAATCGTCTTGGTCAGAAATTGAGGATGATGGAGAATTTGAAATAGATGAAGTGTCACTACAATCAGTATTATTTAAAGTTTGTGACTGAACAATTTCTAAACTTGAAGTACTATTATCACAGTTTGGTATAATGTTAAAAGTATTACTATCTACCTGAGCATATTCACTAAGATTATTGGCAACAGTGTCCTTACAACTATCTTTATCTTGTAAAATATTTTGTGCAAATTGTTGTGAAGCTATTAAAGCCCTCCTAGATTTTTGCCTTGCACCAACAAATTCTTTCGGTTTTCGTTTTGACATTTAAAAAAATAATAGTAAATGTTACTTGCACTTACATTAGGTAATAATAAAATAAATTAAGGAGTAAACTTTTGTCCTTGCTTATGCTTCTTTTCCATTCTCTGCTTAGCATGCTTCAACCAAGTTTTTACTGCATTCTCAATAACCACTGTAGTTGTAGATGGAGATTTAATCTGTATGGCGCCTAGACATAAGAAAAATGTTTATGCTATATTCATATTTTTTAGTCGTCTACTTACGTATGATGACATTCACTAATTTTGTGTTTCCGAAAGCTTGTTTATTTCGTTGCCCGGCAAAATTATAATGTGTAGCTAAAAAATCTGACATGACCATTCTCAAAATTCTATTGACCTGAGCAGGGATTCCATTACCCCCTAGCGTTGAAAAATATGAAGCCTAAAATAGAAAATTAATCATAAAAAACTAGGTACTTAATATGTCTTGCTATAATGACAAAAATACTAAATAATACAATAATAATCATTACCAAATCATTGGAACTGTCCTCCTGTGAATTTAGATACTCCTCCAAGGTTTGCAAATTAGCAATACTTTCCAGAGGAAATTCCACTGGAATATCAGGTAAACAAGAAACAGTAGTTATGTTCCTTGTTTGTTTAAGTAATCCCTTAACCTCTTTTATTTCTTCCCTTAATTTTCTCACCTCTTTAAAAATTTTGTCCAAACCTAAAATAGAAAAAAAAAACAGATAGTTAATGCAATAGACCCACAAAAAAATATTATACCATTAGCAGACACAGTTATGGTTCTAGTCTCAGTTCTATTACTGTCAGATAAAGTTGATTGAATACAAGGTGTCAAAGTTATATCTTGATCTTCATCAATAAGTGATGGTGATGACACATCATGTGACACATTCAAATTTTCTCTCAATGTTTGGGTATTGGGAGTAATTTTGTTGGATACAGAAATATCACTATTGGAACCCCTAGCTGATGGGGTTTTCAATGTTTTCTGACAATTTGAGTCATCTGTTTAGAAATAGTATGTATTTATTAGATTCAAGACATAACAGCAATAAACATCCCTGTAAACTGCCAAAATGTTTGTTGTTATTTATATTTACCAGGTTTTACTTTTGGAAAAGTAGGCGGCCTTGGAAATTTTGAAAGTGGTTCATCCTCTTCACCTTCACTGGTGGAATAATCAGATAAATACCTCTTCACACTGAATTTTTTTCTAGTGCCCAAGGCTGAGTCAGATTCTGATGACTGTATGTCTGATGTTTCTTCACACTTTTTTAAATTCTTTTGAGCTTTTTCTAAGCTGTCTGTAAAAAAATTAAATTAATTAGGCGAGGTGCACATAAAGTTAGAAATACTTATGGCAAATATACAATCTAATTCTGACTTTTACTGCAAAAAAAACTATTTGTTACCCAGGTTTTTGTTCTGAAAATTCCAAGGAAAATACAACCTAATAAATATTATTTTATATAATGCTTCCTATAAAAATCCCATATGTATATGGTTAAACCTGATTGAAGTTTGAATTTTGATGATATGATGTTACATCATAGTGCTGCCACCAATAAATTCCATTAGAATATGCTTAGTGACATAGATGACGTAACAACATACCTTCAGAATTTAAACTTAGGTACTCAAAGTGTAACATTTTACACCAGAGATTAGATTAATAAATTACTAAGAAAAAGCCAAAGATTTCTAGATTCAATTTCAAAAACTATTAAAGATATTATACACACCACATTCAAAAAACAAACGTTTAACAGGATATAATTTCCAACTACTCTGACTAGGTTCTTCAGGAGTAGAAATTGCTCTATTGAAAAGATTAGATGTTTTATAAGGTGGCCAAAATGCCTCTTTCTTCAAAGGGGTAAGCCACGACGAGTGGACCAAACCTATTCCACCATTGTCTAAAAATTCCACTCCCACATAAGTCATCTTGTATGGATAACGTACACTACAGATTTATTCTAAGCCAACACCAACACTACAAAAATAGAAAAAAAATCCAAACAAAATACAAATTAAACACAAAAATTTAAGAATTAGGTAATTTAGGGGTAACCAATTTAGGTATACTTAGTGACGGAGAGATAATTGGAATCACCGATGCCCCGTAGCTTCAGATTCGTTGGTCAGATAATATATACACTTACACCTCGACTTACTTATACATCTGATAAATTGAATTGTTCTATGATAAACAAATAGGTATAGAAAACGTCTTGAGATAAAATGTATTGATTTACAACTATATGGATAGCCCTCAGGATATCATTACATTAGGTACTTCCTTAAAAGTGTATGGAGACTCTTTGATTGACGACATAATGCCCAATTAAATTGAAAAAATTGTAAATATTACACTTATAATTTATAATACTTACCAGAAAGATGACCCTGCACTTATCTACAAGAATATAGAATATAGTAGCACCTAACACCGAAGATCAACAGTCACAGCAATACTAATCCTTTGTCCTTTGTTTATCTATTTAATATCAAACCGCCATTCGCCATTCCATAATCAAAAACCACATGAAGACGGGAAATTGGTATTAATCACAGATATTAATTATTATTTCGTTCCGTTTTCCCTCCAAACCACTCGACCCCACGCCACGATCATAACCTCACAATTTTTCAAAACCAAAAACGTCAAATATCAATTAAAGTAGTTGATCGGTTAAAAAATACGGATAAAAATCGAACGAACTGAGTAGTAGAATTTGGTATATATCGCGCGAAGTTAGAAAACATTAATTTTATCGTGAAAACGCAATAAAAAAATTCATAATGTTCTTATACATATTATATCACCCGAAAATCACGTTAAAATGACGTGATATTATATTACATCATTTTGGCGTCATTTATCTGACGTCATTATGTCGTCAATTTCTGGTTATTTTGGAATACATGACGAGTATTGACGAGTTATCACCATATAATAACGTCATTGTGACGTGCTCCTGCTACCTGGGATCTTTGATGCACTTGTGCCAAAATTCCGCACACAGAAACTAGCGCATTCACAAACTCTATGGGATTCAGTTTTTGCCTTTTCAGTAAGTTGTAAGGTAACCAAGATAGGAGAAGAGTCGAAAAATCCAACATTTTCAAATCCGCCCTGTATTTCAGGAACGATAAATCTGTGTAAAATATCTTTAGTTTTATAAAAAAAAGTAGCATAGTGAACAAAAAAAAACATGGAATACGAAAATGAGACACCCCGTACATTCCACTTGAATTTTCTATACAAGCCTTATATCGTTGTCTTCCGTTTTGCATTATTTACGCATTAGTACTAGATACATTAGTTTAATGCAGTAGCTTTATCGTTATTCTGTCTACAAACTCAAATTTATAATCACCTATTGTGCACGATGTAGTGTAAGCAGAACTTTCCTGAGATAAAATGATCGCTTTAAAGTTCGAAGTGATCGCTTACGTACATTTAGGAATGAAGAAGAAACTTCGGCGTAATACGAAACTCAGGCAATTTACCTAAGTGAAAATCTTTGAGCTTTTCCTAGTCCATTTTTTATTCCAAAACTTGTTACTATTGTATGGAAAAGTGATATAGAAATTTTATTATATACTGTATATAACAAATTTAAATACTTTTACAAAAGTATATTTTATAAATAATTGACAAGATATATTAGAAATTTTTACATTTCCTCTTGAATCACATTTCTCATAGCGGGTGTTTCTCAAAAGTGGCTTACCCCTATAACTTTTTTATTTTTTCAGATGAAAAACGAGATTTGATATGTTAGTATATGACATAAAATAGGATTGATTGACGTATTCAATTGATTTCGGTCACTTCCTATTTTACCGGAAATGACTACCAATTTTTGATTTTTAAAACTTTTTTTAAATGTGTTTGAATGTGTTGAATTTAAAGAATTTTTTTTTATACATAGCTTTGATAATCTGTAATAAATATTTTTTTTTTGTTAAAATGGATATAGTAAACAATGTTTATCGTTCACACTTAATATTATTACAAATTCTTGCACATTTCGATTTGTGGTTTCTTCAAGAATAAATTTGACCATTGTTTTGGCCTTAAAATGCCTAGAAACATTATTTCACAGTGTAATAGCGTCAGAATAGTAACACTGTCTCAACAGGACTACAGGCAAGTTGCAATAGCTGAAATTTTAAGAGTTGACCAAAGCGATGTTACGCGAATATTAAAAAAATTCAGGGAGACAAACGAGGTTACAGACCGGCCTGGAAGAGGTAGAAAGAGAGTTACTACTGCTGTGCAAGACCATCAAATATCCTTAATTGCACGACGCAATCCCTGCTTTCTAGTCCTGCTATTAAAAACGAGTTAGCTCGCCTTGAAGGAGTAAATGTTTCAAGAAAGGCCATAGCAAGAAGACTCCATGACAGAGGATTACATTTAAGGAGGCATCTAAGTGTTCCGAAGCTTAATTTACAGCACAAAATTACGCGACTATAATGGGTTGAGGAGATGAGAGCAAATGGACCTAATTGAAATTTCGTCATGTTTAATGATGAAACAAGGAATAGGCCTAGCGTCAGATTCGCGACAAACTTTGGTCTGGAGAGCATCTGGAAGACGAGCACGTTTGAATGCAGCTCAACCCTGTGTCCCGTTTCAAGGGGGAAGCATTATGGTATGGGCAGGTATAATGCACGGAGCTCGAACTCCTTTTGTTTTTATTGATGGCACAATGACAGGTGCCTCATATCTTAGAGACGTTTTAGAACCTAATGTGTGTCCATTTCGAGGGACAGTGGGGGATGAATTTGTTTACATGGACGATAATGCTTCGCGAATTTTGTGAGGAAGAGGGTATAAGAAAACTGTGGTGGCCACCGATGTCTCCAGATATGATCGAGCATGCTCAGGACATGTTAAAATGCCATATTGCCAAAAGGAATGATCCCCCGTACCTTAAATGAATTGAAAATTGCTGCGCGCGAAACATGAAAATCAATTCCTCAACATCTTCTGAACAACTTAATTGAGAGCATGCCACGTCGTCTCACAGCTTGCATTGAGGCTCGAGAAGGCAATACAGACTATTAGTTGTGAGAAATAATTAAAATTGTTTTCAATATTTTCTGTTTAAAATAAAATTTGTTTTTGTTGATTTTCACTCATTATGAAATAAAATTATAATAACAGCCTAGTTGCACTTAAATTTTTAATTTTATATTAGTTAGTCGTGTACTATAAGTCAATATGTCCAAAAATATCTCTCTCTTCAGTCCTGACCCCCATTAGGGAGTGTAGTGGTCAGCGTAACATCATGGATGATTTTTCTCCATGCGCCTCTGTCTTTTGTCATCTCGATGACATCGTGCATTGGCTTGCTATAGCTAGTCGTGATCTGGTTTATCCATCGAGTTGGAGAGCGGCCACGTGGTCTACGTCCCTCCACCTTGCCTTGAATTATGAGTCTTTCCATATTCTCCGGACTTTTCCTCATTTTATGTCCAAAATATTTTAGTTGTTTTAGTCGGATTTTACAGGAAAGCCTGTGTTAGTAATATTAAGTTCATTTATAATGGAAACGTTTGTACGGCGTTCAATCCATGGGATACGGAGCATACGTCTATAACAATACATCTCGGTAGCATCGATCTTCTTATGTTCCGATAACAATACA